TCATGAGTATGATGTTGTATGTATTCACGAAAAAAATATATCTATTTATTTATCTGAGTTATCCAGTACCCATAATACAAGCACTGTTTGGTTGGGACTAGATGGCACTGTGATAATTGTAATGAGATTATAATAATTGCACTTTCAACCGAAACATAGTTTACAAATAAAGTTGCTTGGTGGCTGAAATAGGTGAGCCTAATGTAACACGGACGACTTCTTACTATATAAATGCGCCTTGATATTATCTGAATATGATTAACAGATATATTTCACAAGTACCTAATATGCTATGTACACATACGGCAACCTGTTTTCCTCGGCGGTACTTATTTTTGACAACTCGATGTCAAGGTCTAGGTTATGGAGACGTCATGGCCATTACACACACATAAATTATTATAAAATTCTACCTACCGCCTTATGCGTTTGACGTCAACACAGCAATGACTTGATGACTGTTGTTGTTACCAAACCTGTTATTTATGTACTCGTTTTGACGGAGGCACAGAATGATTTATTTACTGGATATATTTAACTGTTCTTAGCATGAGTGTTGTCAATTTGGTTTAGTATATACCATGCCCCGAGTTTGATTCTCAATCAGATCATAGAAACATTTATGATTGAGCGGTGTATGAAATTGTGAATCTGAAAAGATGTAATAAATACAATATTCTGATGAATATGTAAGAAATTAAATTTATTTAATTATTAATGCAATGTTACAACTTAATATGCCAATGTGTAACGTATAAAATAATAAAGAATACAAGTACAATATCAACATTTTTTTTTTTTTTAATTGTTTATACTAATTGTTGCTCGCGGCTATGTCTGTCAGAACGAATCGAAGATCCCAGAAGAACGGAATACTTAGACCACAAAATAATCTAAGGAATTAAAATGAGGAATTCATACTTATACAATTACTTCTACTGTAGATTAGATGTCAGGTAAAGTTTGTTAATAGGATTTAGCTATGAGGAGAGTTCTTCAATAGTTACTTTTTTATTGGGTTGTTTAGCTATTGTCAGGTGCTTGGACCTGTAGCACTGCCACCTACATAGATCTATTGTCCTCGCGCTTTTTCAGAGTTCGCTACCTAGAACCGTCAGATATTCTTAGGAGCGATGGTTTTTATCTCCTCTGGATAGAGTGTAAACTTTATAGAGGAGATATTACGTTTATACATGAGTGGGCTACAACCACATAGGATGTGTAGTGGCGTTTCTTCTTCAGTTTGACAAAATCTACAAATTTTTGTTCGCGCAGGCCTATATTTGCCATATGTTTGTTCAATATGCAGTGTCCTATGAGGGCCCTTGTCATCATGAATAGATTTTCGCAATGGTAAGCCCTTTCTTTTTTGGAAATTATGTGAACTTACACTAAGTTGTGTAATTTTAACTAGTAACTATATATTTCATAATACATACTGTATATACGTGGTTGTTTTTGTTGTAGATTTCATTGCTAATAATCGCTTTTGGAAACATGCTTTTCTTAATTGATTAACGTAGCTATAATTTCAACCACATGTAATCTTTATAAGAAACATGCTTTGCGGATTTTCCTTGTATTTATTATCTGCCTGTATCCAAGTAATTTCTGATGTTCGTGATATATAGATGCTATGACCAGGGGATATTTATTATCAGTATTTATCACAATAACATCATCGTCTCTCCGCTGGGTATAGGTATCCCCCACAAGGAAATTGTATTAATAAAATTATAGCCCCGTTATTTATATAGTTTTGTATATAATAATTTTATCTTATAATTAAACCAATATTTCTAAACCTAAGTATTTCGCTGCTGATCCAATGACCCTAGAAAAATCATTAATTAAACAGTTGTTTTAAAAAAAAAAATATTAAGGAAGAATCAAGGTATATAAAACCTGAAATTGTCACATAATATAAAATATAAAAAACGATGTACACTTATGTATAAGTGTCTTGTTTTTCAAAACGGTATGAAAACGGAAAAAAATGTTTGTCAGTGTTTTTTTTTAAATAATATTTTATGCTCTGACTACATCGTAACACCCTAGAAGACCCTACTTAAAATCGGGTTTTGCTCGTTTGCCTTGAAGATTAAATAACTGTTAAATGAATACCTCATACCTGCATACCTCTACCTCAACATACTATTTCCTGAGTAAGGCTACTTATTAAAGTACCTATTATAATTCTGAGCCGACTACTGATTCATAAGAACTTTTTATTTATTTATAGATGCCTTTATACCATTTTTTTCAAGCACTATTATTCGCTTACACATTTTTTATGTAGATAAAGTTTTAAGATGTCCATTTATTTTATACTTACTTCACGATTGTCTTTAGACTCTTAGTTATTTTTCAACCTATATAGAACGATTCTTTCTCAAAAAGTTTGCTGAATCTCACCGACTGATATATACCGATAATTTGATCCGATGGTATTGGATTGCGCCGTTTTGCACATTTTTATACTCATCAATTACACACGAGCAACACATTAATTTCACTTTTCCTAGTCAATGAAGGACCTAAGTGACATTGGTATTAATTTATTCGGTTTAGTCTTGATTATTATATGTATAAACACGTACACGTGTACAGTACAAAACTGGATTGAATTGAAATCGACATTGAGAATAGATCCAGAGTAGACCTGCTGATCTAACATGTCATATCTTGCATCTGATATTGTGTAAACCGAACTTTATGAAAATATGTCAGTCAGAGTTTCTCAATAGTAATACCAGTTGTGAACTTTAACCGGTTTTCCAGTGGGAATTTCCTTTATAAATTTACGTGATTATAGAATGCACGATGAAACCTTGGTGCCCTGTTCCACGTGGAAAGTATTTATTTGAAATGAAATGAAAAGATGAGATTAAATACTAATAAATAAAAAATTATATTCTTGTATCTTGAACACCTACTGCAGTCCACTGCTGAACATAGGCATATTCCAATAGTATTGCGCCTGATAGTAATAACACATTATGCAAAAAATTGTGATCTTGAACCTTACTTTATCAATAGAAACAGACCATTCCTGCAAATATAAATATAATATTTACATATTTTAGTAATATTATATGTTCGTGCCCCTAATTATATCAATTAATAGTGTATTTTTTAATTAAGCTAAGGTTTACCATATGGTTGGGAATCCCAACTACCTAACTGTAACTGAACCCTATTTTTGCTTGTAAATTATAATTATGTACAACAGTGGATAGTGCAGAGATTGTGTGTATGAGAGGGCACCAGATACGCAATACACGAGTGACCCGAGGTGGCCCGCCGCGCCGCCCCTACTGATAGCGCGGCCCGACACTGTTTGTATCTTATATCTCAACAACCAAACAAAGACTGGAGCTATGCAATATACAATATCTATATAGACATATGATGATGATAGATGTGCTCAGCTCGCAGCATTTAGCGCAGTGTTTCCCAACCTTTAACCAGGACCACTTGATTTTTTGTTCCCTCGCCGCAAGAAATATAGTTATTATGATTTTATTATAAGAATCCATCAATAACTTGCGTCATATAAATTTCAAATTGTTTTACTCCACCAATCGACTTTGTCACACTTGGTCACGTTTGTGACATTTCCCCCTAACTAGTGTGACGTGGCATATTTTACAAAAAAAGGTAACAAATAAACAGCAGTTCCTAAATTCCTAATAACAGTTCCTGAATTAGTTGTATTACCATTAAAAAGTGACGTAAAAAAAACTGTTGCCTCCTCTTAACCCTTGTGACACAATGTCACATTTTATTGTAGTCTTCCCCTTTAACTACTATTATTTAAAAAGTTTGAAATGGAATTACCTTAATTTCTGTGGCCACTTTTGACTGTAGCGAGGCATCAATGTGAAGTGCTTGTGGCAGATCTATTACTTCGTGATATTTGCCATGCTCTATCTTTTAAGTTATACTATCTTGTTCACATCTGCATTCTGTTCTTAAAATTAAATTTATTTGAATTTGTTTACTAGAATGACATCACTCTTCCCGGCCGGTCAATTTGTACTCTAGCAATACCGTAATATCTTTATACTTAATAACTAAATGATATGGACATTTCATTATGCACAATTATTGATCCGTAGATAACAAGATACAAAACAGCATCATTATTTATACTTTTTTAAGCCTTTATGTAGGTAATTACGTTGTTATGGTCCATTGTAACAATGATTACTGTTATCTAATATAGATAAATATGCTAATTAACAAATTTCACTGTGATTTGACATTAATTATTCATAAGATCATTAGAGAATAAAATTCTCTGCATTTTCAGTTGACGTTTTTTGTTTTCATCTAGATATAACCACACAACAAAACTCATACCTACCTCATACATTATGGCTAGAAGTCTATTATTTTAATTTTACTTACTTACTGAGTGTGAAATACAACTGTTTTGTTTAATGTGGGAAAATATAAAATATATTATTGTATTTTTATGCGTATTGTTACCCATCTTCTACCTTTAGTATCTTAGTTTATTGGTTTCCGACGACATGGCAGTCCGCCGAACGGCTGTACGTACCGCTAATAAGGTGTTTTACGGAACAGCTGTGAAAAATACATTCCTTAAAATACAGCTCCCAAGCATTAGAACACATATCGTTCATACAACTATAGATATTTTGCAATACATCCGTGCCTTTTATAATTAGAATAATAGTCATTTTGAATCCTATGTAAACATCACAACAAATAATGGTAATAAGAGACAACTTGCTTAGTAACAAAGAGACAAAGAGTATGAGACAATCAATTAGTCACCTAACACGTATTGTTTAATACTATAATATGATGTTTATGGTAAAAGCTTCGCTCGTCAGCTGCTAATGAGTCGTTTGATATAGGCACATTCGATACATCCGCTGCATTTCCGATAACGGATGAGTCAGCTCTGTGGGCTAGCAGCGACCAGCGCTGCACTCCTCGCTCCTGCTGATCTGTTAATATCGGACGGGTCATTCATACGGCCCGTAATCGCGCACTCAGCGAGTTGTCACTGAAACGGATGTTGTTAAGCATTGTGGTCAATACTCGTCCGCCAGTCGAAGGCGCAGCGCGTACGGAGAAGGCCGCCGCAAAACAAACCGATGCTCGCCACCCGAAACCGGCGTGGCTCTCAGCAAACAACACTATCGCGAACTCGTTACTACACGATTAATGATAAAAACGAAAACATTACCCGGAAGACGTGCAGTTACTGACATCGGTCGCACCTCGGCAACGCTTCTCGCTTGTTGTGATTCGCATAAACAATACAGTGACATTACGTGTGTTAATCAAAATAGATAAAGATTGTGCGATTACATTTATTTTGGGCAAATTAAATCACCTGCAGGCTAATGTGGGAGTTTATCAACAACGCCACGACGCTATCGAGGCCTCGTGTTGGTTGTTGCTGTCAGTACTAGATTATAGCAAGTGGCAATACATCGTCACGTGGCTGACGGAAGATGCCGGTATTTGGCTACGAGAATATGTCTACTCAGGATATGGGTATAATGGGTTTCTCTGGAGCACCTCAATTCATGACACCCGCGCAGCAGTTCCACAGTTGGGACAAGCCCCCGACGACTTCTTACCCTGGATATTCACAAAGGAGCCCACAGGAAACGACGGACGTTCCGATGCCACAGAGTGGAGAAGGTTTGTAAACAAGATTATTCTAGTATATGCCAATTTCAAATTTCACTATAGTTGCGTTTTTAGCAATAAAATGTATGTTATGCTAATAAATCACAATTTTACACATTCGCGTACTATCATTTTATTTTGTGAATATCAGCGAATAATGTCGATAACGACTTAAAATATATCTTACGTGTATTGTTATTGATGTTTTTGGAGTTCCGTAACCATTGGCTAAAACGGCCCGAATGACTCGTAAGAATCTTTCACTATTTATCTCTTTCTGGAAATATGTATCTTGGCAAACTTTTTTTGTTGTAAACAAATCGGGAAAGTATTGGATCAGTAACACCTGCGTGATAAAGTGGATCAGTCATGGACTATGGTAACCGTTTACTATCAGAAGGATAGTATGTTCGTTTGCCACCATTGTAATATAATATACTTTGAATTCTTAGTAAAGACAGTAATTCGCAACTGTTTTAAGGACTTTACATTACTTCATGAGATAGATAAACAAAATAGAGTACAATTCAACATTTTAAATTCTCCTACGGAACTCTGCGCACCGGTGCGGTCTTAACCGGATTTGTATTATCTAAAACAATATACTATGTGACATAGTATAAGTAGGAGTTAAGAGCAACATTTGTTATCTGTACTAAATGTAAAAAATAGCAACTCATTAATATTATATTTAGGACGCCGCACCCACCTTCTTGTTAAAAGCTACCAATTGCCAATTGGTTTAAAGAAGCTATTTTTTGTTCGAACAGCACTAAAACCTGCGAGACTTCCCCCAAATGCAATCTGTTTATCATCTTTATAATATAAGGTTTTATAAAACGTCACTAGTCATTTCTAACACTAATCATTTCTTCGTAACTTAATTGTAAATTACACCAAATAAAACAAGATTAGGAAATAGGCTCTTAAATTTTTATCCTTAAAGTCCATTTTCCATTTCGTTTATTTATTGCACTTTATTACTAAACTTCAATATATATAAATAAGCAATGGCTAATTCAAATGTAATTTCGGTAAATAACAAAAGCTTCACATTAGATATTGAAATTGTACCTACTAGCTAAATTGTTATGGAAAAACAAAATATTGCGTAATTTTACAAGTGATAACTTATGTTAAGAAACGGAAGAATCTATATCTGTTGCTATGCATAATGGACTCCATTATGCATAGAAATAGAGATAGATCTTTATTAACATATGTATATTAAGTTGCATTAAATAATTGCAATAACGCGATGACTGTGAACAGGGACGAATGGAAGCGAAAAACATATTACGCCTACCCCAAATAAATGGGATAAGGAAGAAGCAGATGATGTATATTAATATGCATTTATAAAAAAAAATACGAACTACGATATTATTACATTGGTTTGTTGTAATTTTAACTTTTATAGTACGTACCAGGAAAATAGATCTTTCTATATAATAATTAAATATAAAGTACCTAGTCCATATTAGTCACACTGGCTAACATTGACATGTATCTAGGTTAACATTATATACGTACATTGTAGCAAACTTAAGACCAAATCCTGAGCTAATCACTAATGCTATCTATCCCTTTTATGTTTTCGATCGCTGTAAGTTTGTAACATAGTAGAAAGACGTAAACTAAACCAACATCGCTTATGTAAAAGTCCAACATTTCTGATTAATAATTAAGTTTGATTGGCTCATAATTTCACTAAGTAAATTTTAGATACATAAACCTCGAGAAAGAAATTCTCGAAATGATAGTAAAAACGGCATCAAAATACTTTCCGTGGCTTAAAAGCGAGTATCTAATAACAAAAACGAACGAAAACAGCGACTTTTTAGTATCTTCAAATATTAGAGATATAAATATGGATTTAGACAAAAACCATTATTTATTATTTTTTTATAATTCGTCGTGTTAACTAAAAGTTACGGTTATTCTTCTTTATTTAACGTCATTTATGTATTTAATGTAGACTCATTAGTCTACATTACTAATAATCTCCTTCACCCCACATTGCTAGCCATGTACAATGTCAGGTTGACCTCCACATGGTTCCCCCTGTAAACCATCGTGATAAATTCCAGGTGAATTTGCCACTATGGGTTTTCTGACCTGACGTCTCATGCATATCTTATCATCCTCCTCTGGAGCCACGCCAACATAAACCAATAGCGGCTATAGACGGAATCATTCCATTGTCATAAATTAAAAGAAATTGTACTACTGAAAAATATATATCTACAAAAGTCAGTGAGGTTCATAACAGTGACTTTCAAAATTGAATTTTTAAAAGGTCTGATGACTTTACATCTATAGTCAATCAGTAGAAATTTCACAATTATATTCTATTAGCTTTATATTATATGTACATCTGTAGTAATTTTTTTATTTAACTATACCCTTTGACCGTCGCATTCTCCGAAGAATTCCTCTTTACTCCATCACCTCTTAATGATTATTGAGTAACTATACATATAATATTCAATTCTATAGTAAGCATGATATAGTTTTCCTTTATAAAAATCTAACCGTAGGTGAATCAAAGGATACATGAACTCCTTTTGTGACGAAATTTAGATATGTCAAAATATCTTAATTAAACTAAATCAACTTAAACATTCAAAATTGAACTAACTATAACTATAGACTTTCAAAATTGAATTTTTAAAAGGTCTGATGACTTTACATCTATAGTCAATCAGTAGAAATTTCACAATTATATTCTATTAGCTTTATATTATATGTACATCTGTAGTAATTTTTTTATTTAACTATACCCTTTGACCGTCGCATTCTCCGAAGAATTCCTCTTTACTCCATCACCTCTTAATGATTATTGAGTAACTATACATATAATATTCAATTCTATAGTAAGCATGATATAGTTTTCCTTTATAAAAATCTAACCGTAGGTGAATCAAAGGATACATGAACTCCTTTTGTGACGAAATTTAGATATGTCAAAATATCTTAATTAAACTAAATCAACTGAAACATTTGTAATATAATAATCTATAGTAAGTAGGTATATGTAAGTGAAAAATACTAAATAGAAGTTATAAAAAGGTTTGAGATATTGATGCTAAACGAATCAATTTCACCCACACAATATGCCATATGTTTTTACGAACGGTAAAAATAACTGAATTAGAATAAATGTGTGTATATACAAGAGAAGAAATCGCCTTTTTCTATACTTTCATCACATTACAACAAATTCAATTAAATGATCAATTAATATTCTATATAAATATCTAATATTTTTAAGTGTGTACGGGAATTTATTGACTTTCTATATTTTCGTCTGTCGCAACAATTACTTCGACTTCATCCATAGTACCTACAGTCCAGGCGAGATACACCATAATCACCCTGAAGAAGACTTTCGGATGATTCGGATTTATTTACTTATGAGTTTACTAAGTCTCGTATTAAACGTTAAGTATTGAATGAATTCATAATTCTAAAAAAAACTACAAAATTGCAATATATACTAGATACATGTTAAAAACAGTCTACTGAAGTTAATGGAACTTACTTCAATTCAAATAATTGATATTTTTAAGTAAAGCTACTTGCATTAACTGAAAGAACATTTGACTTCATTTAAGCAAACGGTTTTTACTGTTTAGTACCTACATATTATTTTACCCGAAGTTGTAGTATTATTATTTTGCCTAAAACCTAAACTATTACAAATGACATTCAAGTTTAACACAAACTGGAGAATACCTCCAAAGTCAGTGTTCTGAAGAACATTTTCACCTCTAACCTAAACGTGTATGTATAGGTACTTACATACATTAGGTCCTTCGTTTCATTACGTCGTAACCTCGTAAATATAAATTCAACACAAAAGCATTTAATCCTCAAAATGTATAATAATATTACCGTACGTGCCGTTAAATTAAAAATTTCGATTAGAAAATTTGTAATCATTCTATATATTACATTAATTAACAAACTATGACTCTTTTCATAGTAAAGTTTTTTACTTTTATTATTTTAGAAGAATATCATAATTAATTAAATTAATAGACGAAAAGCAAAGATTACCATAGTAACTATAGACTATATAATAGAAAATATGACATAGATAACGTAGTCTTTTAATATACCTTAGTAAAGATTTATAATTCCTAAATCCGTAAAATATGGCTTACTAATGAGCGCTTCAGCTGTAAAATGCATGTATCGGAACGGCTACAAGCACTTGTAAAGCAAGCCACTCTATCCACATTCTTGAATTTGTGACGATTTGTTGAGGTTTGCCATGCTTGTGACGAGCTATGATAGTTAAAATTAACAAACTATTAGCACACTGTCAATATTAAAATATTTTGCTTCGTACTCGTTTCTCGTTTAGCTCTCTTATTTGTACGAGGTTTCTCGTACTGTTGGCATGCGTAGACATAATACTTAAATAGGTCATGATATGGATATCACTATTGTCTTGATACAGAGTAATAATTCAGCGAGTACTGTCCTCTGTCAAGCAAATCTCGTCGTTGTTGTGAGGAAATTACACTGATTACAGATCCGGCAAAGGAACCCTCTCAGTATGAACAGCAAATTACATTATCTGACACGTAATGATATTTGCTATGCCAGGAACTAACATCTGGTTATTAAATGTTTAGGGAAAGGAATTGGTAATAATATAGGAACCAATATTCCCATTGCTTTATATCTTAAAAGAACAAACAGGTCAACGCGATGTCCCCCTGGTAACCACCATAATAAATTAATGGTGAATTCGTCACGATGGACTAGTTACTCTTACCAACACCCCCCCGGGGTGTTGATAGTAATGGAGTCTAGTGTATCCATTGCTCGCAATTTAGGTCTCTTATTGTAAAGGTTATAAGAGAGCAGCCTGGCCGGGTCCCTTATTAGCCTACTTACACTTCAAGTGACGAATTCGGATCCGCTATTAATAAAACTTTGTAAATTGATATTTGTAAGTAATGAATACTTCAATACCAAACCAAAATTTACCCAAGGGACGGCGCCTGCTACATTGGATTCAAATATAACTGTCGGACTGTCAAGTACTGTGTTCATCACGACGTATAAAGTTGATAATGCCTCTAACTACTCTATCTGGGACAGTTACCTTATGAATATATATTGTTATTGGTTATATAGATGTTTGTTTATTTGTTGTTACAGACAGTGACATCCAACTGGAAACGAGTAGTAGTGAAGCCAGCGCAGGAAGTTCAGTGTCGCTGTCCCAACACTGCGCGATATGCGGGGACCGGGCGACCGGCAAGCACTATGGTGCGTCGTCATGCGACGGCTGCAAAGGATTCTTCAGACGGAGCGTCAGAAAAAACCACCTATACACCTGCAGGTATGTTAATATTTCACACATATGCTTACATCTACTTATATTACTTATAATATTCCGAGTGGGCGAGTTCCACTTGTGGGCGCTGTAACCCTAAAGGGTAAAAAGAAAAGAAACTCTCGGTTAGAATTAATGTTAAATCTCCGCTAATATAGCTCACAATAATTCATTAACTTAATTTTTACTAATAGTGGTTTTTAAGTAGGTGAAAAAATGGGGGCGCTAAAAAATAATTTATACTCAAAGTGGGCAGTAGACAAAATAAGTTAGTAATAGTAGGCCAGGGATTCCCATCCCTGGCCTACATGATGGTGAATTACCATCGCTTACATACATGAACGGCATCACGGACATCACATCATCATGTGACCCGCGATATCACTCATGCGTTGCCATTCCAGATGTATAGATGCCATGTCTTTATCCTATAATTTCACTGCCTAATGTGCACCTTACAGCAGAAACACAGCTTACAAAGCAAGCTAATTGGCGGCTGAAATAGATGAGACTCAAGTATCCAAATAGACGACATTTTACAGTCTATCTACAGCTTGTATTCTGTTGAATATGGTTTTTGTTGGCCACATTTTTTGTCGTAGTATAAAAAAATCTAGTCGCCAGAAGATCGTATCACTTCTACTGAATATAAAATTAGCAATTTTGCATTTGAATATAACTCTTACGATATATTAATTGTTTTAAACTTATTTCATGATTGTTTATAATTGTACCCATTTTATAACAGTATATTTATCGCGATTTGTTTTTATGGGAGTTCAGCTTTTTGACACTTACAAGCATCCTGGTCACGGGTCGGTTTTTTATATAGTATATTTATGTTACGCAAGTTGTATAACCATATGTATGTACAAGTAGTAATCGACCGGAAGAAATTCTAGAAATAATAGTAAAAACCGTATAAAATTTCAAATAACCCTTTTATTAGGCCTTAAAATACAAACGTAGGCAGTATTAGTGGTTACAAATAAGGTGGAAAGAATATGACGACCTTACGTCTACCTAAAATTGGACGCCAGTGCTACATGTTGCTATGATGAGGCCTTTAAAACTGCATGTCATACAGCGACCCTCTCCAAACAAAACGTGCTACTATGAAAATTTTCTACAATATATAATTAAACTCAAAGAAATTTGGAGACATAGGATAAGGCAACTAATATCAACGTTTCACACTAGTAAAATTTTATTCATACAAATTTGATTAAGAAATACTCGTTACTGAAAATCTACATTTTCTCTATGACAAAAGACCTACATTTAGCTCATTCGTATGAACAATTTAAGACAGTATATAAATTTGAAAAAATATATAAGACATTATAATTATAATTTTCAGAATAACGAAAAAAAAAACCTTTATATTTACTGTAATAATATAGTAAGCCAAGTCGAACGGAACGTAAATATTTACTGCTAAATTTCATAAATTAAACGTATTGCTCGCGCTTGGATGTGTGGAGAGGTATAGAGATAAAACAAATACTGAAGAATACCTACATCGTAATTAATTTGTGTGCACACAGTCCTACTGAATTCTGAACAGTCTTTATAATTTTCTCGCAGTTGTTGATGCGAAATGCGAAAAATGCGAAAGCCCTTGCCTTGTTATAATAATTATAACTTAAATCTGGTTCGCCTTTTAAAAAATACCGTCTCTTTCTATTTCAGATTCAACAGAAATTGTGTAGTAGATAAGGACAAAAGAAATCAATGCAGATATTGTAGGCTAAGGAAATGCTTCAAGGCCGGCATGAAAAAAGAAGGTAAGATATTATATAATTATAATTGTTTACAATATAACATTCATTGAACATAGAAAAATGAGCACATGGCAATCAATTCTACTTCTAGATTTCTTTAGAACGAGACAACGTTTCAATATCATTGATATCTCATTCTTTGTTTACTATAAAAAATAAAAGCAATGTATATAAACATTGTTTTCGTTTGCCATTTATGCACCAATCAAATTCTGGTGCTAAAGATATATATTGAATATAATGATCGATCACATAACTCCCAAATATGATACAACTATGAGGAAGTTAACAAAAGTCAACTATAAACGTGGCTAGGTAGTGGAACTTAAGGAGGGCTGATTATATTTTTAACTAACTTCTAAGGAGACGACTACTTATTAATGACGTATACGATATTACATTAAATTCAAATCCATAAATAGCTATTTATATTCAAAGCTTTACATTGTACAATAGAAACAGTAGCTGATGAAAGAGAGGGGGGAGCTGATTATACTACTTTTAACCAACTTCCAAAAAGGTGACTACGTAATAATGACGTATAAGTTGTTACATTAAATTCCAAACCCCGAATAGCTATTACTATTCATAGCTTTATATTGTACAGTAGAAACAGAATCTGACAAAGAGGACTAATTTTATCTTGTTACGTGTAATCTACTTGAAATATTTACCAAATGTTTATTTTTTATACAAGATAAGATAATTCTATAAATCCGCTAGAGAATTCGCTAATTAACAAGTCCGCAAGCGTGGCAACGGCTTTATTTGTTAATTGTAAATAATCAAAATGTTTATACATGAGTTATTGTATATTAACTCTCACATTAGATCTTATGTAAAATTATTGAATATTAAATCTCTAACATGTAATTATATTTATCTATCTGCATATAAATGAATGTTACAATACGAAAACAATTTGTAGAAGTATTGTTCTTCTTTGAATACAGCAAAAGGCAAATCTTGGCAATTTTCAGTTCACTTTGTATTCTGAATATGTTGATATAATAAAAAATCTATTCAAATCTAATTATAGATTTACACATGGTATTCAAAATTGCCTTGCATATCTATTTCTATGGCCTTGTGACGTCATAATGCACGTCAAACAGTCTACACTTACAGCAATAATACCTTTTAATGCATTTATTATTGTATCTATTTAATCGATAATTATCTAAAGATTAAAAAGATTGTATATCTACTCATTACAAGTTTTAAATTTACAGATATATCCGAAGCGGTTCTTATGTTAATTAATTTTATCATTATACTAATTATATATCTTTGGTTGTTCTAAAACTGTAAATTGTTATCGTAAATAATATTTATTTTAATAAACTTAATTTATGGAATTTTGAACAATCCAGCACTTTGAATATATATCTTCTATCATCGCAAAACAAGCAATATTCATTCTGTATTCAACTATATCCAAAATATAGTTAAAAAAATTATACAAGTATGCGTTATTGACGCCTAGCGTAAAGCGTCAATTTCACGTAGGTTTTTGTGCGGGTTGTTCTAATTCTATAAATAGTTATCATAAATAATACAGTCCAATCCTTTGAATATAGATGATCGTAAAACAAACAATATTCATTCAGAATTTAGTTATATCCAAAATATCGTTTGAAAATTATTTACACAAGAATGCGTAACGTAAAACGTCAACATCACGTAATCGGGTAATAGCCTAAATTCGCTTCACAATCTTTATATAAAAATATATTATTATTTATCTACTTGATCACTACATATATAAAATTTATTATAATACTGTTTTATGTTGCTAAACTAGTATCCGACCGTATTTCGGTAGTAAACTCAACAAATGTAATTTTTAATTCTACTGCTTAAATTCTTTGATTTAATTTCATAGTGGGTCCTAAATTTCGTGAGATTTTCAAAATCTGCACATCTATCTGCAAATCTAAAATATTTCGTTAATACTTTTGTGCTATCGAAATACTTTAAAATATTCGTGGTAAATTTAATTACATTGCAAGAGATGTAACGTCATACAAGGCAGAGCGCAGTAAAAATTGTTACAAAGCTCGGAGGGGTAAACAAATCTTAAAATACATGTGACGTAATATATAGTAATAGCATTATGCTATCTGTGTACTTACTTAAAGCTGTACAGCTGAAGACTCCCCCCCCCCTGAAATCAGTTGTTATCATAAGTATGTAATCGCTATCATTTACGGATTTTTCCATTTACGGATATATTGTTGGAGCATATATCTGTACAATAAAAAATGCAGTGAAAAGTAGGTATTTACAAATGTATTTTATTTTATCAATTTATCAGAAAAGAAATACGAGTAATTAAGTAATTAGCTCTACATTAATCTAATTATATTATGAGTCTCTAATCTGTCATAAAATATTGAACATCTCATAAGTAACCGTAATAAATATCATGTGTTGACGCCACTACTGAAATACAAATAAATGTTACGCTTCCGTACCCTGCAGTTATTGAATAATTTATTGCAGAGGCACACAGGAAAAACAGTAAGGTTTAAGTAGATATGGTAGTGAAAAATTATAACATATAGTTATAATTTTTCACTACCATATCTCGCCTTTAAAATACAGTATATTATGTAGTTATTCTTCTTTAGTAGTATTTCTTCTACACTATACATAATCTGCATTATGTATAGTGTAGATACTGTATCGATAGAATAGAAAGATATTTTTCTCATTATTGCGCATTTCTACCATAAATAATATAATATATCGCCTATACCCAATATAGGCAAGATAATGATGTACTGTATTTGAAGATATCTTCATTATTTTTATCGAAAAACAATATGATTACTTATCATATTTATCTTATCAACAAAAAACAGCTTTACCACCTACAGCTACACAGTTACACAACAATCAATGTAACATCAGGTACATACGTACTGACGTACCACCTACCTGCAAATTAATAATTAGACAGTAACAAACATACATGTGTCAAGCATACGCAAGGAAGTTTGCGATTTTGCGCATATAAGTTAAATATTGATATGGGAGGACCTATCATGAATTTTATCCTTTGCAAAATAATCATCGAAATTCACACATACACAAGCTTCTCGCTTTTACTGTAGGTTGAAAATTCGTATCAAAATCATGAGCGTATTATTCGTTGATATCTATACTTTAATGACTTATATTTGTCATATCTATTTAAAATTATGCCATGTGTCTTATGGAGTAGGCAGAGAGAAATCTTAAAGACCGTTGCAAAGACCGTTAACCATTTTTTCATACACATTAGTTTCGGCTACAATTTTTTTCGTTGTTTTTAATAAATGAAAATGGATGGTACTCGTATAATGAAACTGTATATTCTGATAGGGTACCAGTGGATGATGATAGGATAACGATGAAGTGAGGCCATTTCGCACATTGTGACAAATTCATCAGTGAGTAAATTTGATTTTGCAAATTATATTATACGTTTCGAAGTCGACGTATTAGAGGACATTACTAGCAATGGTCCTACTAGTAGCTTTGGTGTTCTATCCGAGCACGATTAGTTTAAGTACCCCGGTGCCTACATCCTGTTACTACTACACACTAAATAAAATAACAATAACGATTAGAAATAGATAATTGTTACTTCAAAATTATACGTATTAATACGACAAATCAGATAAGCCACAAACTGCCGATGAAAATATAAAATGATTTTGTTTTGTTGACTACTATTATCTAATTCCGGATAACAGAAATAGATAATAATAAGGTTAGAGAAACATCGATCACTAATCATTACAGGAGATAACTGTCTATTATCTTACAATGTAATCTATATTCGTCATTGTAACTAATATTAGTTTGCTGAATAATTGAGTAGCTACTGCGATTTGACAGTTGTTTGCTATAAACTATGTAAAAAGTCGTCTACATGAGTATCTCAGACTTACGTATTACAGCCGACACGCAGCTTGCTATGTAATGTGTTTCGGTTTAAGAGTGATGAATAAGGTAGTGTAACTACAGGATGCCCATGCCTCCTACGTTTCAGTCTGCAGAAATGGCAATGCATGCATGGTATCGTCAGATTGTTTGCCATTCCTAATTTAAAAAAACAATCTAAAAAATACAATAAGAATAGGTAATTTTCAAACTTAAGGCAGCGGTACAACAGTTTGTTTTCTTCTGAAGGCAACTAACATAAGCACCGCCGTTATATATTTAAATAAGTACCGATATATTTAAGTCGATCAATGTAATGATAGTATATCTACTTACATTATAAAGCGATACAACGGATTTAGATAAGGGAAAACCTGAACAGTTTTGGAGAAATTTTCACTGTTTGAACAGTCCGTTATTCCAGAGTAATATAGGTTATATGAATATTATAATACTATATACAATAGGTAATTATTGTTTTAGGTTTTCTAATTCTCACTCTAATTCAAACTCTTCTTATTTTCTAAGTGACTCACAAATTAATGTTTATATATACAGACAAATTTATTACAATATTTATATATTTTTTAATTTAGAAATAAAGTCAATAACATTTTGATAAATATTCACATTTGTTGCGCCATTGCTTGTCGACATTCTATTGAATTGACGTACCATTGTTCAGTAGAGGAATTCTCATAAATAATAATGATTCTCTACAATTATAATGACTTATACATATGTATTTAACGTTCACTAATCAATGTTAAAATTTAAGGAAATAATTAGTATATGTGCAAACAATTTGTCACTACTGTATATAATGGTATTGATAACACTTAACAAGAATACTCACACAATATAAAAGTTATAGATAATAAAGATATATAGAAAAGAAGTCACAATATGTTTTATATTAATGGAAACAATGTATACATATATATATATATATATATACATACATACTTTATTAAAAAATAAAATGCATTTTTATGACATATTTTATTAACAGTAATAGAGACCAATTCTGATAAATTATTTATCACTATTATCTCTGTATGGTTATTGTA